CCCCCCCCCCCCGACCTCTCCGGACAGAAGGGGAATAGTAGCGGATATCTACGCGAAATCAGCAAATAATAACCGACCAGGTCCAATTAAAGACCATGTTCATGTTTCATCCTTGGGTCCCTTCGCACTGACGCCAAAAGCGAACTAGTGGCGGGTGATTGGCGGAGCGAAAAAGAGGGCACATCCCGAGGCCCTTGAAATTTACCGTCCGTTTACCAGACGCCGAAAGACGGGTCCTGACTGACTTGTCAACGTGAAGAAGACATACCAAGTACTCCGTACATACGTCCTACATTCTAACATACAGAAGACGGCGGGAAGTATCTTCCGACGTGGAACCAAGTCCATCCGTAGAATTGATACAGAATCTTCACGAGAGACAGGAGCAAAAAACAAAAGGAAAGAAGCAAAACCGATGCAGAAAAGTAAGTTAAGGCAACGCATCATAAAGTTTACTAAATATTCACCGACAGGTCTAACGGAATGTGAGCTGTGTCAAACTTGTCTTTTTTTTTTCTTTTCGTTTTTGTTTCTCTTTTTTCTTTTTTTCTTTTCTTTACCCCGTTATTAATTAGATGCAGAAACGTTGGAGGAGTAATTCAAATCAACGACAATCCCTTTGCCGCCTAGACATACCTACCAGAACGATGGACGTGCATGGTGGAGGCATGTACATACGTACATCCGTACGACGACGGGCAATATGACTCGATGTCCCCGTACATTTGTCCAGTATCTCCTGGTCTCGAATGCGGGAGGTGGTATCGTTGTTTAGCACATCACTACCTATCCTGGAGCAAACAGCCAAAGTAGTCCGATTAATCAGAAAGATACTATGACAAGTAGTTGCGCTCCATGCCGATATTCCGAAAGGATTGTCGACCACCAGGCAACGCATCCAACAGCCAGCCTCCGACGTGATTGGGGGGGCGCATCACCACCGTCTTTCGTCATTCGGATGCTAGTGGTCTTGGAAATGCAACGATCCTCGGGCCCTCGGGAAATTTAGCTTAGCTATGGATGTTTGTTTGGCCGTCATGAACCAAGTGGCTTTGGGATTCAGAAGTTGTCCCGCACATCCTATAATAAACCAGCCTCGTCTGATTTTCTTTTTCGCGGAGGAGAGGGAATGAGATGAGATGATGTTCCGGCGCCTAAGGACGCCATTGTCACACCCTCCCGCATCGAAGGGGAAATGCATGGTTGTTTTTGTTTCGAGCACTATGTCCGCTCGCTTCATGACAGGTGGCCGGTTGGATAATAATAGAAAAGAAACAACTATGTCTATCATTCGTTTTTCTTTTTTACTATATAAAAAAAAGAAAAAAGAAAAAAGAAATTCAACGGTTGACGGGCGAAAAGACGTTCAGGGGACCCATGTCTTCCCGTCGATTCCTTGTAGACGTGCGTGCGATACAACATGTTCATCCGCGACGGGAGAGTTGCGTTAGGATGCGCCTATAGGATCTCGAGAGTTCAACTAAAAAGGAAGCTAAACACGGGCGATGCGACGTCCGACGCTGATCGAAATCTAGGGCTTACATCGCGGCTTGTGAGAGATGTGGTTTCTTTCCGAATGCATATTGACGTTCAACATTTCGAATCGAAACGTAAATGGAAGAGAAACAAACAAACAGTGTCTACAGGTGCTAACGTGAAGGGACGGGCTGCTCTGCAGAAGCACCCAACTCCGCTCTGAAGGGGTACACAGCGTCCTGCTAGAGCTTACCTCCCTTCTTCAACTTCGTGTCCTCAGCCAGTCACCGAGCGGCTTCCGGTGGTACAACATCACTCTAACAGTAGTCAGGAGACTTGCAAAAATTCGTTCCTCCCCTGCTCATTGGATCTCTCCATGTTTGCTGGAGACCGGACCTGGCCCAAATGATGTATACAATGATGCAATAAATAACCCGCAACATAGAGCCAAAACATCATGGTCACGTTTGATTGATCGCTTCGCTTTCCACATGAACACCGAACAACATCATGATCAACAATTCATCTGCACGCTGAACTAACATTGTAATCGTCGACATCCCATTATGTATCCAAGAAATGAGCACATGACTTCATATGTGTACACTACGGCGCAGATCCGAACAATCGGATTGCGGAACGTAGAAGATGAAACTGAAATAAAAAAAAAAAAACAAGTACAGGAAAATAACAGAAGGTGGCAAGAAAGGGAACAAGAGCCAAGTCCATGACCAATGTTGTCGGTTAGCCTGCTGACTTCACAGGCTCCGCCATCTTATGCTGCTCTGCCGGCTTACCCTCGACTCCCTCAGGAGAATCGTCGTCATCTTCCTCATCGTCACTTGAGAAGTCATCTACCGCACGACCACGTCGCTTATCTTCCTCTCGCCTCCGACGTCGCTCTTGAACATACTCACGGTAGCGAGCATCTATAAGCTGTTAGTATTGAAAACCTACGGATCTAGGGTCCTTCAGGTCAAACATACCTCGTATCTCTTGTGTCCTGACTGCATACGCTTGGATCTCCTCCTTGCTCAGCACCCGCAGGACTATCACGTAGTCCGACCGTTCCTCAAAGCGCTCACGGCCAGCTTCCAGGGCCGCGGGATTGACTAGTCGACGATCAATCTTAGTCCATCGCGCTCCGGGAGGAATGCCTTTCTTGTGCGCGTCCTTCAGAGGCGCCACCCCTTCTCGTACAGGGTTCGGTTCCTCTGGGAATTTATCCGTAGGAGTTTTTAGAATCCCTTTCGGTGGAGTCTCGCTATCCTTCGAAACTGTAGATTCTGCCCTTTTATCTTCCTGACGATCTACCTGGATCATCTCCTTGTTGGTAGGGCTATTCTGCGGACGACGGCGTGAGTGGGACCGGCGCCATCGAGGGCGCTCGCTGCCGCTTGCAGAATCATCGGATCGGCTAGCTTTCGGGCGCGCCGACGCCTCGCGTCTGTGTGTCCTCAGGTCCTCGTCAGAAGTGTATTCATCGGAATCGTTGTCGGCTCGGCGTCTAGACGGCCTCTGCGGTCGATTCTGACGCTCTCGCGTATCGTGATCGTAAGAGCGATGGCGCTCGGCTCGTTGAGATTCATGCTCATCATATACACCTCCTAGGACAGCCGTCCCTAGCCCAGTAGTAGTGCCTTGGGGAGCAGGCTCATTAGTGATGGAGCTCCTTGACGCACCATCATCATAAGGCTGTCGACTAGTCCTACTGCTGTTATGCCGTCGATGCCGATGCCGGTGACGGTGAGCATCTTCGTAATCGCTCCTGTATGAAGAGTACCCTTCATCCGCTTCTTGGTGTAGATGAACCGGATTTCGTCGCCCCATCCGCCGGTGCGCGCTGGCGACGTCAACGTCGCTATCAGCAGAGCCCTGCATAGGACGCCGTACCCTTGGGTCCCACTCCAGTCTGTCGAAACCTCTTGTAGATGGAGGAGGCTTTGGCGATCGGGGTCCGCTTCTTGACACTAGCTGAGGATCATCAATCCCGGTCAAGCTCAGAGGCCTCTCCCTCCAGTATGAGCCCCGATCGTGGTGAATTCGCGCGGCAGAATCTTTCTCAAACTGTTCGCGAGGATTGGTATAGGAATAAGCATCATAATCGTCAATGTCCTCCCCCTTGCGAAGGCCTCCCGTAGGTGGATATCGCGAGCGTCTACTGGGATCCTGTTCCCTGTAACCACTGTGAACTATCGGTGACATAATCCCTCTATCGTTCGGGTCCAGCCTTCCTGTATCACTGGCATAATCGATATGAGAGACGGAAAGAGGGTGGCGCCGGTGGCGCCGGGGCGAAGAGGAATGCACCGGATGATGGTCATGGCTTGGGAGAGGGCTAGGAGAACGGCGGTAGTGAGTTGTTATGACAGGAGGGGCTCTGGGGCCATGAAGCCGACCAGGAGCCAAATGGGCGTCTGCCGCGGAGGTAGTATTGCTCCGTTGTCTTGGGCGAACTTCATACTCGGTTCGCAATTTGGTTGAGTGGCCAGCATCTCGATAAGTTTTTGATGAGACTCGCTGGGCTTCTAATCCTCCTTCCCGAAAATACCGTGGGTCGTACGCTGTCACCACATAGGGCGCGCTGGACGGATAGCCGGAGTATGCGGATCGACTAGCGGAGGAGGGGTCATAAGAGGAGCTGAGCTGCACCGTTCCGGTGGAGGCTCGCATGGGATCAATAATACGTGAGCCACTTGGAGACATGGGCCGAGGGTGCGTAGTAGGGCTTATTCCAATCCCTCACAGACAATGGGAGGTACAAAATCTAATCGTGGAATGCGGAGGTGGGCAACGTTTGATTCAAAGAGAACAAAGCACTGAGATAAGCTTTGTCAACGAGATGTCTGAAGATTAAAAAGAGAGGCAAATCAGAGGTGGAGGACACAAAGAATTTACATGAAATAGACAGAATGGGGAAGAATTCTGCAGTTGGAGTGAAATCGAATCTTTTGGGCACCAGGCCAGGAAAGTCGTCGAAGAACTAAATTAAGGCTGAGGGGCAAAAAAGAAAAGGAGCTAGTTTCGGATGCCTGATCCTGCAGGCCACGAGTGAGACAGCACGAGCGGCAGGACAGCGATATTTATGGAAAACAGAAGATTGATAGCAATTCACAGGGGCTTTGGCGAGGAGAAGCAAGGAGCAAGATAATAAATCACAAATCAAAGAAGGAGGATAACAATCAGAACGGTGATTGACGGTAAAGAATAAAAAAAGAAAAACAATAGTCTTTGGGAGTCTTGAGTGGGCTGTGACGAAAGAGGGTCCTCGACGAAGCGCACTAACAACGGCCAGAAACCATCTAATGATGGCATGGATCACCATAAAAGTGGGACACCAACCAGCTTATCTAATTCGTATAGTCCAGTTGCCTCCTGTAAGAGCTGAGCATTCGCCCCAGCAGGGCTCCCTTAATAAGAATGGTCTGATTCGCTCAATGTTTGAAGTGAGAAGGGGAAGTAGTCTCCAATATGTTCCAGGTTGTCGACAAGCTCCCGTGGTTCCAAAGTGAGTGGGGATCTACATTGGAATTGTAGTTGTAGTGGTGATAATAAAGTACCAGGAAACCATGGGTGGCAGTGACAATCCCGTTCCTTTTCCCTTGGCTGCGTTTTGCATATGTTTGCACCATCCATGGTCACGCCCCCCGCCGGAAGAGAGTCTTTCCTGTTCCGCAACTCAATCGCTTGACTTCATCCAATCATTCCAATCAATGCCACCAAACATTGTGAAGAGCCTCAGGGCATGACTTGGATAAAACCGTATCACAAGGCCTCATTTTCTTCCAGTAGTTCGCATATCAGTCTCGGAATGGTGAAGATGCCGGATCAACCGGACTTCAACCTTCAGATGGTCCTTTGTCTCCACTGCCCCCTCCGCTTTTAACCGTGGTGATACCACTAACACTAGTGGCTCCTAACAAATGAGATATCGCAGAAGTCGACGGAGCAGACTTCACATCCTCCGTCAGCGTCATCCAAAACTTTGACTTTTGATTCGGGAGGAAAGAGTCCCCATTGCCCAAGTGTCGCGGGCGAATCACCCGCTCTCCCGTATCCACCTTTTCCACCTGCCGGTTGCCAAGCGATGCGTCGGCTGAACATTTGTTAGCGCACCGAAAGATGCACTGCATCCATGACATCATCCAATGCAATGGACTCTGTACTGCCACTCGGAATGTCATGTGGGTTCAGGCATACTGTACTCCGGAGTAAGATTAAGGAACCCAAGTGTGGAGTACGCGAATTTCTAGAAGGATACCCTCCCGTCTTCTGGATGCATATATGCACCGTACCTTTGCGGGTAGACAATCATCCGTATAATCAATCAACACACAATGCTAACCGATCCTCTTAGTACCCCGCAATCATGACAACAATGTCTATGCGTAAACTTGTGGTATCGATTCGCCGGTGATTGAAGACTCCCAAGGCTGAGCTCAGCACGGGCAACCGGGCACTTCCCGTCTCAGTACCAGGACGCCCGAATGGTAGTGGAGCATCATTGACTCTCCCTTACTTGACCATGATGATTTCCGGTAACAGTATTGGGCATCGGTCGCCTTGAAACAGCCTTTGCTCTCCGTTACCCACACGTCCGCTTCACTTTTCTCACTTTTGGCTTCCTTACGCTTCACCGGCCGAGTGAAGAGAATGCGGGATTTCTTTTGTCTTCGCCCGTCGCCATGATCGACTTCTCCCTTCATAACCGAGGTGTGTAACTCATTAGGGTGACCGGGTCCTACCTGCGACCAGGTTACGTTCGAGAGTGAACCCACAACACACACTTGACACGGGATGGCAGCATGATGAAACGCTCTATTTGGATAAAACGCCTGAAGCTATTGCTAAAGGGTATGTTCCTCACATACTGTCAAGGGGTAATTTGGGCTCTGCATATGCAACACTATCGTCCGAATGCCATAGCATTTCCCATCGAAGTTTCACACCAAGGAGTCACAATGCTATTGTCAAGTGTTGACATTGCGCAACAATTTATATCCTACGCCCGCATTTGGTCTCTTCCACTAATGTGCCGCCTCTCTTAGAATGGCAGATGTCTGATGAGTGAACGAACCTTTACGATCAAAACTTGCTTCGAATAGCAAGCACAAGTATCCAATGATGTACAATTAGTTTATACTGACACTGCACAATCAGCCACTGCCCTACTCAGCCACGGATGTGCCTTAGGGTTAGCCCATCTCAGGGCCAACATGCTTAAGGCTAGTGATGACGTACTTGTCATGTGTCATACATCGCCAGGGGTGCGCTTCATTGCCCCAGGTGTAGCAGATGCTTCATCGCGGAAGGTAGCAAACCTTCAACACCTGAGGCCTCGTTTGTACTCGCATTTTCATTGAGTAGTACGTACTTAGGCGCAATCTTGGCCACACGGCACGAGCCCAGGATGCTGCGGGTTGACTGTTCTCTGACTATCTTTCAAGGAGACCAGGCGGGCTCAAGAAAGGTCTTTTGGTAAGGGCAAACTAGCAGAAGGATTCAGATTTGTGCCCTGCAAAGCCCTGGTGAAGGGCCCAAAAGGGCAACAAACGGTGATTCATCTTCTTTATCCTACGATGGCATATAAGGTCAGTTCGAAACGACCGAACCTTTTCCTTAATTTATCCCTCCCATCATAAATCAAACTATACCACAAAACCTACATGTTTATATAAATAGTATCAGTCTTGAAGCGTTTCTGCAAGATAAGCATAATCTCCTCGCAATCGGTACTTAGCCCCTTTTATAATATCTTCCCTGTTTATACCTAATACACCTTAGAACTCTAAGCCAAGCCAACAAGTACTTCGTCCAACACTGACGGCCACCCGTACTTCTACATCTACTATGGCACAACACGCATCATTAGCTCCCCAGAATGCCGAGGACACATCCAGGCCTAGCATGGCTGGATGGTGGATATGCTGCTCATGTGGCTCCGAGAATAATCCCGGTTTGAGCCACGGCCGGTGCACTGTTTGCAACCACAAGGCATGTTATTGCTGCACTCCGATGTGATAAAAGACCATGCACAGAATGGCTCTAGGCTATTGTATATTATGATACCTCTTTTGTTCTTGTTGATGGTCCATGTTGGATTCTCTATTTCTTTCTTTTCCTTTTCGACCACCTCTTCTAGGTATGCTTTCGGGTTCTATTTTTGTACAATATATATCTGCTACGACTGATGTATGGGATGTGAATGTATAATAAGCAGACTGATGATGAAATGCGACCAGTTTCCTTTCGGACTTCCATAGAGTCCCCCTCCTTCTTCAAATTAACTCTATACCTTTGATTTATTTATTTTCCCCCAAAGCCATTATTGAACAGCACGGGCTAAATGAAATACCCAGGATATCTGACGTAGTTGGGAATGAACCACGTGAGCAAGGGATGTTTAACTTTCCTTGCACTGCTTTTTCCGATCTATATGTGCCGAGAGTATAGATCGCCGATTACTCGGTATCGCAGTCGGATATTGGCCGGATGGTACTTGTGTTTACCTTGATCTTTCCGCTTCCCTAGTTTTGTCCTTCTATATTTTTGGTTTGTTTGTGTCTGTTTGCAGCAAGATACCTTGTGTGCGTTCTTTGGCTGGTTTGATGGATTAACTGGACAATAGCTAGATATCTAACGATAGAGTAGAGAATGTCTAGGTGGGATGTTGTTGATGTATTGTTGATAAGATAGTAGGCATGTAAAGATTGGGGATGAAGTTGGGATATCTATTTTGTTTGAAGGGTTGTTATTAGAAAGATGCTCATTATCTCTTTGCGTCGATAGAGTATATAATTGTGATAACTTCTATCACTTTCACCCCTTAGCTCTACTGAAGTGGAAGACAACCTGGTTAAGATCTACAGTTTTGGAGATGTAGAACGCCTTTTCACGGTAGGCCTAGAATGAATGATAATCTTCGCTCTTATTAGTATGTACATATGTGTGCTCTGAGTGATAGGTTTGCGTGTCCAAGTATGCCAATGCTCCGTTGTCAAAGTTTCCAAAAAGACGAAAGAAGAAAAAAGAAAAAGCAAAATCGTGAAGGGCTTGAACGAGGATGCAGCATTTTCCAGAATGACCAAAACTCCGCATAATGATGATAATGATAATGATGATGGGTATATACCGTCGCAATGTTCCCAGTATTATTAGCCAAAATCTATCTCAACTGTGTTGCTCAGCTCTGCTTCGTCTCCGTTTACGCTTCGATGACCTATCTGTAGGCTTGCCATCTGCAACGACGGGATGCTCAAGTCCAGCCTCAGCCTTTAGTCTATGTACCACGGGCCCGAGCGCAAAAGCGCTCTCCAGACTACTGTGGTCCGCACATGGGCTTTGCTTGAGAGGAAGCAACCAGTCAAGTATAGAATACCCCAAAACCTGTTGGAGGTTTTTGAAAGAAGTACCCAGGTCAAAAGGGTTTTCGCCTGGGAGTGTCTGAAGAACCGCAAACACATGCTGTTCCCCTGTGGGTGGGTATTGTTGATGCTCTGCTGTAGCCTCAGTACGTGGAGGCATCGGCGGTAAAGGATAAGTTATTGTACGAAATGTCGGGGCCCATCGGGACTCAGGGTCCAGCTTGGAAAGCATATGCTTGGGCACACGTATAGCCAAGGTCCAGACTGCCGACCGACGATTCAGATTCTCGATCGTCGTCAGATTATACATCGCAAGTTGTACCGAGCTAAGTGTCATTCCAAGTGAGAAGATTCCGAAAAGGCAACTCCTGTGAACCATTAGATCATTATTCAACGGGTCGACCGGAATCGCAGCTGTGTTGACTCACAATCCAATACTAACAGCCCAGTGAGGATTGATATCGCCCATCTTAAAAAGTTAGTCGACCCCGGACAACGGTTTTACCGACAAGGTGCGCTCTTACCTCTCGTCGGAGTTCAGCTGTGAAGATCGCACAAACAATAAGGGCAAATGTGCAAAAGATGAATGTGTAAAACACAAACTGAATGAAGAATTTAAATGAGGTTTCCGAGACCACGCCCCCTACCCTTGTGGTAGTGAGTAACGCCATGTCTTTCCAAAAGAGGAGCATAACCTACCAAGGACAGAAGTGGTCCATCTTACGAACACACCGGTCTACTTCTCGGCAATGGTGTGCTCTGTCTGTCTTGTACTGACAACAAGTGGAACAATATATAGGCCTTCCATCTGGCTGGCAGATAAAGACATCTTTCGTATAAAAGTTTTCTAACCCTTCTGCATTCAGGGGGAACGCTTTCCCTTCAGCGTTGTGGCCGACGCCCCTTTCGAGGTCTACCTCATCCGATGTGTCGGCTTTCTCAGCTGTTGCCCGCTTTCGATGGCTTTTCCTCCTTCGTTTACTGTCTCGGCGATGGGGGTTCGGCGCTTCGGCATCCTGCTGATCAGGAAGATATGAAGAGCCTCGTGGTAGGAAGCCCGGGTTCCAAATGACATTGTACAGCAGCCGAAGATATGTAATAACCACCAGTGTGAGTAAAACATAATATACAACAATTATGGCGATTCCAGCGCCAACTCTAGAACTGCGATTATACTTCGGTAGAGGGGCAATGAGGTAGTCGACTGTATTCGAAGAGGTTATTAGTATCACCGTTGATTTCCGAATAGGGGGAACTGACTGCATAGTGGCTTTGTAACAGCGTAGGAGGCATAAATGAGAGTACAGAGTAGCACCAGAGGTATGATCCTAGCTACCGCTAAACTGACGCGCCTGTCTGGACGCGCCATCGGAGATTAATGGTAAAAGGGCTGGAATTGCCTCTGCATTGAGGAGTAGTAGGACGGATGAGTATCGGATTGAATCTGAACTGTATCTATACAAAAACGGGGAAACATGTATATACAGCCGCCACAGGAGGCACTATCGGTCGGAAAGATGAAAGCCTCGGGCTAGCTGTAGAAATATGGCCGACAGGGGGACGAAAGTGACGTTGTTGCTGTCCATCATCAGGAACGTGATAGCCAGCTGTTGCAAACTTGTCAAACTCCCATACATGACGTCGTCATGTGCTGTCACATGATGACAAGCGATTTTTAGTTTCATCTTACAATCTACGATCTAATCGAGATCTCGACCTGTCGCTACAATCCATACTGAAAATCTTTCTATGGCTATCCGTACACAGCCAACATAGAGAATGGCGGCTTGAGGATCCTAGGGGCAACATTAGCATTGCACCAATTTCTTGGTCACATTGTCCATGTGGCCAACGTCGAGAATCCTGCGGGGTGATGATGTTAGTTTTGCTGTCGTTCTCTCATGAGCACTGGCCTTCTCTAAGATGGGATAGCGATCCCCATACCCACCATCCAAGCATTGCCTAACATTTTATTTGCAAAACTATTAAATCGCGCACTTTGACCAGGTATGCCTTTAGGAGGCTTCAAAGTTTCTGCCTATGAGTTTGTAGCAATACGAAAAGACGCTATGCGAACGTCATCTGGACGGGAATATGCGAACTTTATATGGGACATGAAACGTACCGTTTGGCCGGGCCTCAAGAGGTGCCTCTTATTCAACGTGGTACTGTATAGCAGTTGGAGCGGCTGTAGCCTTGGAGAATAACGGGATGTCAACTTGTGTGGTGATCCACAGTGGATGTGAGTAATTATAAGCTTCCCGCATGATGCAGGATTTTTGAAGCAGTTCCAAAATAGTATTGCCTTTCCAGGTACTAGGTATCAACGTAAAGCAGTATCAGGATTGGTGGTCAGTATCTTTTGCTTGATCGATGTGGTAGGGCACCTTCAGGCGGGAGGTCGGGACAGTAGATGCAATATTTCAGTTGCAAAAATAAAGGAAAGGTGGGGGTGGGGGGTAGGTAGTAATTAAGGAGACAGGAACAAGACAACAGGAAAGGAGGGAAAGAAAGAAAGACGGAGACGGAGACGGAGGGAGCGAGGAAAAGGCCCTTGCAAGATGGAGAAAACACAAAGAGTCATTTCCCGTCGAGTAATGAATCAATTTTTAGTTATTCGGTCATTCTTCGTGTTGGGCGTCATACCAGATCCGCACGTGGATTGCCTGAGGACTATAGCAGGCAGCAAACAGGGATGCCTGGCTTAGTCGGAAGCTGAAAGACGACTGCTTGACCGACAGAAACACTAGTCTTTTCCGTGGTGGACTCCCAGAACGGGTTAAAAGTGACGGTAAGAGCCAAAAGGCTTAAGACTGCGGCAGAACATCAGTGCTGAGCTGGGCTGCTGGAGTGACCTGAGGCTCCGGGCGGTCGTTGCCTTGAATCGCAGGTACCTTGCCTAGTCTAGTCCCCATAGTTCCAAAGTGGATCCAAACACTTTGCCCGTTCAAGCATCTCATCCAGGCTATGCATAGTCTGCGGGCACCCACTTGAGAAGCCAAGAGGGGGTAATTAACAGCACGAAATGAAAAACACCCGAGCAATAAAAAAAATAATTAAATAAATCAACCAGATTAAAACTGCACAGTTACTGGAGGAATGGCGGGTATGAACGGGCAAACCAAGTGCCCAAGCCTTGCTGGTATTCCGCCTTTTGGAAGACAACCAGCCGAACCCCGAGGACAAACTGAGTCAACTTGCTGCAAGCTCGCATTTGATTCTTCTTCTCAGGCCACCAGTATACCAGAGCTATGATTCAGAATGCTGCTGAACGTCACTCAAAGAGATCTAGACACATAACGGCCCGGACCCTCAGGGCCAAAGTACTAGCCTGCCAAGCCACTTTTTGGATCTACTTGCTAAACGGCCCCTTCGTTTTGCAGAAGATTACCCTTACCTGATGACTGAGGTAATTTGGTTTTAGCCCCGATTGGGGCAGAGCTGTGGCCTGGGGCTTGCCTGATATGTCGAAGCCACACTATTCAGGGCGAAAGACTGCCTTGTCATTGTCAGAGTGATTCATCATTCTCGTCTTCTGGTTCTATTTAAACACAGAGACCCTCACTCCATTTGAATCTCCATTAACAACAAACACTTTGACTTCCACTGATCACTACATACATTGTTCGCTTCAGTCTATATCTATTGAGTCTTGTCCTTCGTTGTCTCTAGCTACCAGACCTCTGTCGAACACAACTTCATCTTCTGCAGCGCCAACATCTCTCGCCGCCACAATAATACCAACTATCCCAAACAGAACATCTGAAAACAACATAATGCCTTGCTACCACGAGATGTCGCCATTCTCTCAAGTCTCTGCTCGCATGGAGCGAAGAGACTCAGTCAGCTCTCTCGCATCAGTCTCGTCTCTCATGGACGACGATTCCTTGGTTCATCGGCCATCCATGTCCTATGTGAACGTGCTGGACAACTCTCTCCACGGCCTCTCAGGCCATGTTAGAACCAATGGGTACCTTTACATTTGCTGCCAGTGCAACGATGGACCCAAGCTATACAGCAACCAGCCTCGATGTGTTATATGCCAACACACTGCCTGCTCGGACTGCCGCCCTGTCAAGTAATGATCTAGAACACTTCGACTGATTGAGGTAAGAGTTCACGGAGTGGATACTAGTGTGGCATTTTGAAGCTGACATGTTTCCGTACAGTGTTCTACTTACGATGTTTCGATGTCGAGACGGGATCTTACGACAGCAACGCGTTTTTAATGGCTATCTGAGCGATTTCTTTATAAGCATGACACGGCAGGAACATACATGGGTGAGGGAGTCTCGGGGCTTCTTATTTTTGTTTTTTCTTTTTGTTCTCCTTTTCGGATATGATTTTCGTGCATGAGGTGCATAGACTTGAGCGATTAGAGCGTCTCGAATTTTGTGATGTTTGAGTTTTGCGATGGGCCCATGGGGCCGCTGCAAGTCAAAGTATAGCTGGACTATACTTTGCTTGCAGCCGAAGAGAGCCTCGCTTAAGGCCGGAACTTATGGATCGTGGGGCATATTGAGCCTGCTTTATTTTCATTATATTGCTTTTGTTTGGCAGATGCTATTAGATCGCCTGTTTGTATTCTATACTATTGAATCAAGTCTTGTGGACATTATTCCATTTTTAGGATGGTAGAGTTTGACCGTGCCTCAGGTGGTTGAGTGCCGCCTTATTGCCTGGCGACACACACCCTTCACCCAAAACCCTTGACGACAAACGTCAGAACATAAAAACACCAGGCCAATAATCCACCAGTCATCGTTGATTACACATACTGTAGGGAGCAATAAATAGATTCAGACATTTGCCACCTGTCAGCGTTCTCAAACTGACAGGGTAAAAATCCCATACATAACACGTGTGGTCGATCCGGCCCCCAAACGAACCAGCGACCCCGTATTGATTTTCGCAGCTGAGACCATGGGCAAGCTCGAGGCTGACTTCTGGTAGGTTAATATTCCGAGCCTCAAGTCTTAGTCTACCAGTCAGACTGGTGAAATACCTGTAGATCATGCAAGCCACTTGCTGGGTTTCCTTTTTGACTTTCCCACCCCAAATGATCCCACCGCCCTTTCTGCCGGTCACTGAGTGCATTTAGCCCTATGCTGGTAAGGAAACTGGCGGTCTTGGGGCGTTTTTTGGCCCGGCTTCTCACGTTTGACGATTATTTTTCCGCTCTTTCGGGTTCTGCATGTCCAGCTCCGATGACTCTTATCTCGTAGATCTCGATCCTTTGTTTACTGATCTATTCCCTCCATACGAAGTAGCCCTTCAGATGACTGAGAGGCTGTGTTCGTGATTTCCTTTCATTCTTGTCGCAGCGGAGGTCGTACAAGAGAGCCCATGGAAGAGCCAACAGATCGAAGAACCGGGCATTCGATCGCGTGCAAATGGAATTCCAAGACATCTAATAATAAAACCGTAGCCTATAGTCTCCCTCTAATTTAGACATTTACTAAGCCATCATCGCGCGTCGACCAAATCATGTGCTCGCCCGCTAGAATGGGTCTCCATATGGAGGGTGTAAGACAGCACCCGTTCTTCCCACCCCACTTCTCTGTATCTAACAAAGTCTCGGACGGTATCAGAAACCCGTCAGAAAAATAAAAAAGCCACATGGTGTAATCTTGGCATGATATCACGGCTATAATTATGCCTGTCTTCTTAAACATAATACGAACTCACCACAGTCTATGTGAACTCCCTCTCTGCTTCTTTGTTCTGCGGAGGTTCTGTATGACAACCTGCTATTTCGGGACCTGTCAGATTCTCACGTAGAACTTGCATTCCAGCAGATTCTGTTGCGCAATGCTATAAAAATAAACCGGGGGGTTACATTGCGCTTGAAACCAGGACATGCAATGGAAGTTCACTCCATCGGGGTCGGCTTCCAGGGATCGATTAAGACCTACATAGTTATTATACAATCATACATGGCCCCTGTTTCGTGCACTAACTAAATAAATACATTGCATCGGATAACCCCGATACTATAGCACTCCATATACTAGTCCATAGATCAATACCCTGCAGTGATACCATCATCTTAATAATATCCCCATGCTTGATTATTCTCCACCTCCACTGTAGTTTGATTTATAAGACATCCAACCGTTCTTCCGTGGATGACCTCCAGTAACCTTTGCACTTTAGCAGCCATAAGTTATACAAACCCGCCGGTCGCTTGATAATCCAAAAACCTAAGCTGAGAAAAAAAAAAAAAAAAAAAGATTTCTAAGCAGCAGCAATTTGCATTTCAGCCTTAAACAAAAGTACCCACGCTAGTAGCTACCCGGGTACTTGGTTTGTGTTTTTTTAAATCTGACTTGCCTGAACAGACGCCCAGTAGGCCGTTTCGTTTGATTTTAGTTTCATCCACTCGGCCGGTTCAGAACCAAGGTCACTTGCTCACCCTCCTCCTTCAGCTCCCAGGGCCGCCTGCATACCCTTACCGTTGGACTTGTTTCATGAATTTGTCGTCCGTTTGTTGTTCGTTGTTGTTGGTGACACCAACAACTTGGACCGCGGTAGGGAAGGCATATGGGCTACACACATCTGTTTCTAGTTCCGCGGTTGCGATCAGCGTAATTGCTATACATAGATCGTATCGTGTCTTTGGCTGGCTTTTTGGACATTGGTTTCATTTGGTTGTTCTATTATTATTAGTCTTACTTATTATTTATTTATTTTTATTTTTATTTTTATTTTAATATATTTACTTATTTTTCTGGTCTGTGTTTTTCGCTCCCCATTCCGAGATATGGAGTGGTGGACTCTGGAGGTCTCGTAAACCAGGAACTACACAGCCCCCAGATGTCGAGGCCCGGTTGGTCGGGGTTACTAAGAGAGTCTAGTATGGTAGTGTACAGTGCTAGCAGTATACTAAGGTGATGTAACTTAACTTCCTTCATGCATGCCTGAGTCAGAAGGTCACAGGATTTCTGATGAGTCAGTCTTCTGAGTGAGAATCGCTGTGACTCAGTCTGCTTTGTTTCCGGGTCGAGTTGGATAGTAGAGACAACCGCCTTTTCTTGCTGGGTTTTGTTCTGGGCGCAAGATATCCTTCCTAGTTCTCGATCTCCGCTGCTACGACTCCGCGGGGAGCCTGGGGTCACGGGTATATTACGGCGTCGGGCCATTCGGGCCATTCGGGGTGACCATCGGGGCATCGGCCAATTGGAGCCCCGAACTAGACGCCCGTCTGCGCCTTGGGGTTCGTCGGTCTTAGGCGCTAGACGCCCCGTCCCACAGCGTCCGCAAATCAAGGATAACTAACGGGGCCAAGAAAAAAGGAGATAGATTAAAGTCAATCACTGCGGTATTGTTCGTTTGTTTATTGCTATGTACTCCTATGATCCGAACGCCCGGCTGTAAAATCGCATTCTTCGACTCCTTAAGGACGTGACGCCCGACCCATGTCTGTCTAGAACAGGCGAGGCTGGTTTAACAATAAGCTGTCCTCGTTCTCACCGGGCCGTCTTAGGGCCTATTGTTTGCTGTCGGGGCGTGGGTGGAATCGCCTACGCCCACCTCCTTCAGAGGAAAAAGAGGAAATATGTTATATCCTCACCAAATCCACACACCGTTTCTAACCCAAATAGTCATAGATCGAGGCGGTATAATAATGAGTACCCACTGAAATGAGCCCAAAGGAGACTTAGATGCCGAATCTGTTAGGAAGGCGGAAAGCTGGGCCTGCTAATATAACAAGGCGGGGAAATCACGTTTTCTGATAACTCAGAAAGGGAATGCAAGTAAGACGCGGGTATCAAGGTAGTATTGGGAAGAAAGCTGCTACTGGTATAACCAGTATGAAGGAAGAGACTTCCATGTCTAGATGGTCTGACGGTTTTGCACGGTTATGTGCTTTGCCTAGTTTGAATCGGCAATGATCAGAATATATCGGTAGCTCACCTTAAGAGGAGAAGAGCTCCCTCCAATGTGAATAATCGGGTATTGTAGGTAAAAGGTTGTTACAAGGGTAAGACTCGTGAAGGATCCTGAAGGAAGCGTCTACGGTATGCGGCTATCTCCGTGGCCACAGTATTAAAATCTTTCACCTTGTCGCGCCGCATGTCGTTGATGATGTTTTTCAAACCAGCAATGTAGTTGTCTTTTTCTTCTGGTGTTTTTCCTTCTCGAAGAGATCCCATCTGTACAAGGATTTTGTCATCTGTCGATGTTAATAACCCTGTGTGTCAGCATCCGCACAATGCAAAAGCGACCACAGCTGGCAAGAAGAGAGTATAGGATGGCTGAAGGGTGCAAAAACTGGGAGGAAAGTGCTGGAAGGAAAGTCAAGGTTCAAAAAAAAAATAATAATAAATGCGTGAGGCACGACAAATGATTATGTGTCATGGCATATGGGGATGTGTTGCGTGTAGTTTGCTCAAGTCTGTCGACGCACCGCTAAGATTCATATCACGAAAATGTTGAAATTCACAAGACCGGTCGTTGCAGACACCGCCTGCCGCTTCGAAAGGACAGAGGTACACCATAGGGTCAATATTGTGGCTGTAAGTTAGGGAACGATAGCCACCCGTAACCTCATCAGTGTATTTTGGATGGTAGCGGAAAGCCTTGAAAGATTTCAATGGACTAACGTAAGGCGAGAACTTATGCTCTGAATCTCCCGGCTGTTGAGCATTCTATATAAGGTGCGTCAGCCTTCAATTCTCTGCCGAAACAAGAGATTCTCGCACATCCAGAAGGCCAACCTGATTGTTCCCGAATTGTGAGACGCCCGATTCATGTACAGCTCCAACCGGTGGCTCACCGGCCGTGTTCTGCGGTTTTTGCACTGGAGAACTGGGAACGGTGGGCTCAACGGGGCCAGGAGAAGCTGGACTAAAAGGGGGTGAGTAAATTGAGTCAGTTGGACTTGCATTTCCTTCCGGTTCCGGGGGCTCATAGGCCTCTGAAACCGTAGACTTTTCAGAAGCCTGATCTTCAGTCATTTCAATATCTTGTTCACTAGACCTCGAAGACATGTCAGATTGGTCTGTCACGTTCACGGCTTGAGGTTGGTCCGGTAGGGGATCATGATGCCCTTCGCTCAACGGACTTGGTTCCACTTGGTTAATATCTTCTACACCGTCCGAGACCCCAGACATAGGGATGTCCGGCACAGGAGAATGGGCGTTGGGTTCTTCTTGCTCCGCGGATCTAGAGTCGTCACTATCGTCATCACTGTCGTCGCTATCTTCATCACTAGATTCATCCATAGATGACCCTGTGGAATCGGAGGAAGAAGTTGGTGTTGACTCCCTACTTGCTTCAGATAGGTTTTGTTGGCCCGCAGTAATGTCAGACGGATGTGCTGTTTTGGCTATATCGGCCGAGGCATCGATGGATGGCTCTTTAATAGAGCCCTTTTGTTCTTGAAGCTGGGTCGTAACTTGGGAGCCACTTGGCATTTCGACGTTCTTATCATCTGGAGAATTTGGTTGCAGATCTTGGGCTATATGAAGGCAGTGTAAGCCAAGACAGACAATGCTACACGAAAGAAAAAGAGAGGCTAGAAAGGAAGAGTAGTGAGCAAGACAGACATACCTTCATTTGCGGGGTCCTGCATGGTCCTCAGCCTGTCTAGGGCTGATTCCACCTCTTCCAACGACACTCCGTCGAGCTCTGTGTTAAGATGGTTTAGTTCCTCTAAGAGTTGCTGTCGACCTTCTTTCCCCCTCGTGATGTCTAACAGAAGCTTCTCCTGTTCAAGATTGAATTTCGCTAGCCTTGTCTCAGACCTTTCTATTTCTGCGTCCAAAGCAGGAACCCCGGATTCAATCTCTTTTTTCCGCAAGACTTTCAACTTCATGTCGTTCAATTGTTCGGCATCCATGGAGTCCAAACGGCATGAAAGACCACTTGAAGTAGGATGATTACTAGGGGTAGATGATGTACTTTCTGGCAAAGCATCCATGGTGTTCACTTGCGAAGAATTGTACCCAGCAGAAGCTGGTGCAGCCCGTGTAGGTGTCTCACGAGCTTCAGTATCAGTTGGCGCGGACGTTTCAGGAGGTGATGATTCCGAGTCCGCCGCACGAGGGGACTGAGTACGGCTGGCAGCCAATTTTGCCTTCTTGCGGTTTTCCAGCTCAGCAATCCGCCTGTGCATTGCTTGTATCTCAAGGTCTTTCCTACGGAGGTCTTCTTGATCATTGTTTCTTGGAAATTGCGGGGTCGCAGACATTGAGAACCCTTGACTTGACGATGTCACAGGTCTCGGCGGGAGGGACTCTGCAAGAAGGTAGGTCCTTGATGGACCTTCGGGGACTGAAGGAACATCATTTTCTTGGAATGTCTCAATATCCATAGCATCATCTTCGTCATCCCCATATAGATCGTCATCGCTGATGTCAATGACAAGCCTATCGCCTGGAACACTATTATTCACTCCATTGTTAGAACTACTCCTAGGCAAAGGAACAGGCTCGTCAAAATCAGATGCTCGCGGACGCTTGCGTTGATTAAAGCGAGGCTGCGGGGTGGAATCAACCATAGGCGTCGTTGATGGGTCGTCATGTGACGTCTGAGCGACTTCAGTCATGAACAACCCAGGGATACGTGCAAAAGCACCTGTCTCAGGATCAGGGGGGCGCTCAGGTAGGGGATGTTGTATTGATGATGAGTTCAAGGTTGGGGTAAGATCGCGAGTTGATTTCGTGTTTGGTTGGTCGATACTTGGAGATACATCACCTGAGGCTGACTTTTGCTGTAGTCTCATTAGGCCCTGCTTCTTGAGTTGCTCGATTCGTTGCCTAGCCAACTCCGTTTGCGCTTTATTCTTTTCCCGGACGCGAACCTCCTTTTCTGGTAGGGGTGCTTCTGTGGCAACACTGGTGTCACCGGCCTTGACAGCATCTGCAGTTGAGCTGTCTGATGCCTGCGCTTCTTTGGTCACGTCCCCTGGAGGCGATGTTGGGACTCCCGTAGACTTGGCAGCCTTCGCGGCCAGCATACGTGCAATGACCTCTTTACGTTCCATGGGTTTCGCAGCACATGGCTGAGATGGAGGGGTCGATGTTGACGCGTTTTCCACTAACCCAGTGGATTGCGTGGCATTGTCCGCCCTTACGGCTTCTGCTGAGGGTTTCTCCCCTGGTCCAGCAGTTTCGATCGAAGCTGTGAGATCTCTGAAAGAATTATCGCGCGGTGTTGAAGCTAGTGAGGATGCTTGAGTTGATATAGCATCCGGCTGTGGCGTGGGGACCTTGATCCCCACTTCTTCGTAGAGTTGCCTTAGTACCATTGGATTGATACCTTCCCCAACGAGCTCACCGTATCGAATATTGTGAGGAGCTAAACTAAGAAGGGCACCCTGCGCCTGTACTCGAAGCTGTGCAGGGGACTTTCCACAGTTGGATATCACTTGTGGGTCTGTTGTAGGTGGGGAAAATATGGATTTTGCAGATAGATCTTGACCGATCGGTTTTGGAATGGCTTCGTCGGCTTTTCTACCTGCGGGGACAAACGGATCGACATTGACTGACATTGGGGGGTTGTATGCTGTGAAATGTTAGTTTATTGTAGCGGACAAGTAGCACCAGGGTGAGTTACGGGATCCACTGTCTCGACTGAACGAGCGTGAACTAGTTGAAGAAGCTTCGCCCTCCTCGACCTCCGATGATACACATCGAGAGCCTTTCGGCACATGGCCATTGCAGTTCGTTTTGTTCGCCCAATCTCCTTTCCCATTTGTCATTTGGAGATTAGTCGGTTTGGAAGACGGGGGACTTGTACCATGGCGCGACTCTATTCCTTGTTGCGAACAGTCCCCTTCCCTATCAGTAAGTTCACCTTCCTCTCGTTCCAAATCTTCCTCGGGGGCTGATGAGGTCATAAACTGCGGATGGTTATTAGTCACGGAGCCCGAATTGGGTTGAAATTCACTCGTCAGAGGACGGCTAGGTGGTGTATTTATAGGCGCAGTAGAGACTGGCATTGGCGGGTATCTCAACGGCGGCATTTGCATAGGAGGGAAGGGTGGGGGATGAAATTGCGAATGGGCAAAATTTCCCATGAAAGGGAAAGGAGGTGGTGGCAATGATCCAGCCGGCCCAGAAGCTCCTAGTCCAGGGAGAGAATTTGCGGCGAAATTCACATCATTATAGTCGAGCGAATACCGAGCGCCATCGTGTGACTGCTGATAGGCAGGCATTTGATTTTGATTGAAAGGAAAAGGATGCGGAAGAGAAGGGGGAAGAGAATTTGATGTAGAAGGATTCGATGGCCACTGTTGCGTATAATTGGAAGGTCTCCCCAAGGAGGACGTTGGGACTTGGTAAGTCATTGTCCAGTAATCAACCGAATGAGTACCTTCAAGGTCAAATGTGAAGTTTGCTGGAAGACGTGAGTAGCAGGTTAATTGTCGCGACTTTAGGCGCCACGCATCATCAAGCTGCGATGAGTAGAATTCTTTAAAATGCAGCTGACTCAGGAAGGTAGACGTGAGGTCGCGGCCTGACAATATTTGGACAATTCTTTACAGAAAAGAAACTGTACACAAGACATAAGTTAAAACTTCCAAATGTGAGGCGAAATAAGAAGGAGAGGGAAGCATATGTCGCGGTTTAAACGACAGAAGACCGCAGGAAGCAAGACGTTAGGGGGAGGTGATCAATGTGCAGCTCCAAATCCAAAGAGAGGTCAAGTTTCGTGCCGTACATTACCACGTGATGTAGGTATACAGATCGGGACTAGTTCGTGATCGGCATCGGGAGCCTAAGGAACGCAGGATGTAAACAAACATGCGGGCCCAAGTGCATGGAGCAAGTGGTCAGTGACCTAAGTGTATCCAGGGACCTGCCACTTGCGGCTTTGCTGCAGCTTTGCTAATTACCACTTCACCTTAAGGTTCTGTCAACCAGTCGGACCCCCAACTTGTTCTTTGACTGATTTAATGCTTTGATTTGCGATTCCCTGTAGCTCGCTTGTTGAGCTTCTTATGGCCTAAACCTCTTGTTATACCATTTTGACTGTACGCTTGAATGATGACCTACTGATTTAACGACGATATGCTTCCATCACAGTTAAATGGCTCGCCAAAGCGTGCGAACCCGTTCAGCCGGGTATCCCCGTCACCCTCGCCATCTCCTGCGCCCAGAGCTGCACGTCCAAAGTCAGCGTTTATCACACCATCAAGTAAATTCGAAGAGGCAAGAGGGCAGTTCCGAAATTCGACATCTCTGGCACAACCCACCCAAGCCCCATTGGCTCGCATAACTAGTCGTCAAAGGTCTAACTCTTTGCGGAACGATGTCACCTCAGGTACATTCGCACCTGAGTTCATCAAGTCAGAGGAACTTCAACGTGGAGCAGACCAAATCAGGGGCCTTGAAGGCGATAATGACTTTTCCGGGAATAAATACGTCTGGCTACGTGATCCTGAAAAGGCATTTATACGAGGGCTTGTACTAGAAGAAAGAGATAATGGAAAGCTTCTTGTACAGAGTGACGATGGCGAGGTATGGATCATATCTCTATTGACATATCATGGTTGCTTACAATCACCAGCAACGTGAAGTAGATGCGGATCAAGTTGACAAGGTCAACCCGGCGAAATTCGACAAAGCTGACGATATGGCTGAACTTACTCACCTGAACGAAGGTTCAGTGGTGCATAACCTGCACACTAGATACCAAGCTGATATGATATATGTTAGTATTGTCTATTCTGAGAGCTCCTCGGACGGAACATACTAACAATTTGATTCTTAGACTTACTCCGGACTTTTCCTTGTCACGGTAAATCCATACTGCCCACTACCGATCTACTCCAACGAATATGTGAAAATGTACAAAGGACGGAGCAGGGAGGAAACCCGACCCCATGTTTTCGCAATGGCAGATGAGGCGTTTCGAAACCTCGTGGAAGAAGGGGAGAACCAGAGTATTCTTGTAACGTATGTTTCTCGACCAATTAGGCGATGCCAGGGTTCGTGCTAACATGCAGGTGAAGGGGAGAATCTGGAGCTGGCAAGACAGAGAATACCAAAAAGGTTATCCAATACCTTGCGGCAGTCGCAACATCTGATACGCCACATGCTCGCTCGGGGACCAAGCAATTGTCTATCCTTTCTCAGCAGATATTGCGGGCAAACCCAATACTTGAAGCTTTCGGTAATGCCCAGACAGTGAGAAACAACAATTCGTCCCGCTTCGGCAAATTTATTCGAATAGAGTTCACCCGTTCAGGTCAGATCTCTGGCGCATGGATTGACTGGTACCTTTTGGAAAAGTCCCGTGTCGTGAAGCCCAACGCTCAGGAGCGAAACTACCACATCTTTTACCAATTATTGCGGGGTGCAGACCCAGCTTTAAGGGAAAGCTTACTGTTATCTGGTCTTGGGATTGAGGATTTCGCATATACAAGAGATGGAAATGACAGCATCATCGGAGTATCAGATGATGAAGAATGGAATGCGTTGCTTGAGGCATTCCATGTAATGGATTTCTCAGAAGACGACCAGATGCATATTCTTCGCACAATCTCAGCTGTTCTTCATCTAGGCAATGTGGCCATCGTTAAGGAAAGCCTGCGTGCCGATCAGGCGGCCTTGGGCCCTGATGCACTGAACAGCGTGGAAAAGGCCTGTCAGTTGCTGGGAATACCTTCAAAGCCTTTTGTGAAAGGATTACTTCACCCAAGGGTGAAGGCAGGCCGCGAATGGGTGGAGAAGGTCCAAACACCAGAACAGGTTCGACTTTCCCTTGATGCTCTTGCAAAGGGAATCTACGAACGCTCTTTCGGAAATCTTGTTAATCGTATCAATCAACGGCTGGATCGCAGCGCCACCACTGGCGACGACAGCTATTTTATCGGCGTCCTTGATATAGCAGGGTTCGAGATATTTCAGAACAATAGTTTTGAACAGCTGTGTATCAACTATACCAACGAGAAGCTGCAGCAGTTCTTTAATCACCACATGTTTGTCTTGGAGCAGGAGGAGTACGCGAAGGAGCAGATCGAATGGCAATTCATTGACTTCGGCAAAGATTTGCAGCCGACAATCGATTTGATTGAGCTAACTAACCCAATTGGTATTTTCTCGTGCTTAGACGAGGATTGTGTCATGCCAAAGGCCACCGACAAATCCTTCACAGAAAAGTTACATTCGCTCTGGGACCGAAAGTCCCCCAAGTATCGAGCGTCCCGGTTGAGCCAGGGATTCATACTCACTCACTATGCCTCTGAGGTAGAGTACGATACCAGTAGTTGGCTTGAAAAGAACAAAGACCCACTGAATGATAACGTGACCCGCCTGCTCGCAGATTCGAGGGATAAGCACGTTGCGAACTTGTTTTCGGACTGCAGGGAACCGGATGACGAGGCCGATTACCCTAAGAGCCGGGTCAAGAAGGGTCTATTCCGTACTGTTGCTCAGAGGCACAAGGAGCAATTGTCAAGTTTGATGTCTTCACTGAACTCAACCCATCCTCATTTCGTTCGATGCATCATTCCCAATCACAAAAAGAGACCGAAGATGTTCAACGCTCCCCTGGTTCTAGATCAGCTACGATGTAATGGTGTATTGGAGGGAATCAGAATTGCCCGTACAGGATTCCCCAACCGGCTGTCATTTGCTGAGTTCCGGCAGCGATATGAAGTGCTCTGCCGCAATGTGTCCAAAGGTTACTTGGATGGACAAAGCATCGCTCAAATGATGCTGGACAAGTTAGGAATGGACCCAACCTGGTACCGCGTCGGCCGAACGAAGGTGTTCTTCCGGGCTGGTGTGCTAGCTGAATTAGAAGAGAAACGAGACGAACTTATTCGTTCCATCATGACACGTTTCCAATCAATGGCTAGAGGTTTCGTGCAACGTCGTATCTCTAACAAACGCCTGTATCGAGCCGAGGCAACTCGGATCATCCAGCACAATTTTGGGATCTATCTGAAACTGAAAGCAAATCCCTGGTGGCGGTTGTTTTCGCGAATGAAACCCTTGCTTGGTGAGACACGGACGGCTAACGAAGTCAAAAAGAGAGATGAGAAAATTCACCATTTGGAGATGAAGGCCAAGCAAGACCTTGCAGACCGCCAAAAGCTGGACGAAGAAAGGCGCCGTACAGAGATAGAGATCCAAAAGATCCAACAGACTTTGGAGAGCGAAAGAGCTCTAGCTCTGGACAAGGAGGAGATATTCAAGAGACTTCAGATGCGAGAGGTTGAGCTGAGCGAAAAATTAGCTGGTGCAATTGCGGACCAGGAAAGTCTTGAGGACCAATTAGACGAACTTATCGCAGCAAAGAAGAGATGCGATGAGGAGCTCCACAAACGGATAACACAACTGGAGCAAGCTGGGGAGATCATACAACGCTTTGAAGCCGAAAAACATGAGATGCAGGCACATCTTGAAGAAATTGACCGGAAATTGTTAGAGGCCGAGCAGGTCTCTACCCACAAAGATGGCAATATCAAAGAACTAGACCAAGAGTTGAAAATGCTACAGAGCCACCTCACCTTAAAGGACCAGAAGGTTCATGACCTGGAAGCCAAGCTATTGAAAGTGGATCAGGACCTTGATATTAAACTAGCTAACACATCCAAAGAGCTGGATCAGTCGAAAAAACAAGTTAAGGACCTGGTCGACGAAAACCGCTCGATCCGCCAGCAGATTTCTGATCTGTCCGCAACTTCTACAGGATATGAGGAGATGCTCAGGCGTAAAGAGAGTGAGATGGCTGTTCTGCGAAACGATGTAAGAAAGCATGAGGAAGATAAGCAGCAATTAGAAACTGAGAGGGCATCCCTTTCGACTCGCCACGACAACATGCAAAACCGTCTACGAGAGCTTCAAGCAGAGACGGACGCTATGAGATCAGAGAAGGCTCATCTAGAGAGAGAGCTCACTGATGTCAAAAAGCTCCTCGACGAGAAGATCTCTGAGGATGCAGAAGCTGTGGAGAGCCGAAAGCTTTTGGAGCAGCAGATCCATGACCTTAAGGAACAGCTGTTCCAGGCACAAGCGGACCTCAGTCGAGAGCGTCAATCAAGGGACGATGTTCAAATGCTTGCGGAGCATAATCTCGCTGAGTTACGCGATAAGTACACAGCCCTCAATGATTCGAAGATAATCATCGAAAAGGAGATGTATATCCAGCAAGATACACTCCGCCGTGCCACTGAGGCCCGTCTCGCTGCGGAACAATCGCGGAAAGAGCTCCAGACTGAGCTGATCAAGCTACGAGATCGCTTCACTAGTGTGGAAAATGCTCGTCTGAATGCGGAAGCTGAGATTGAACGAAACATTAAAAACCAAGCCAACGAACGACTGGATAGCGTGCGGAAGGACCTTGACGAGAAGTCGCGCCAGGTAGACGAGGTCGAGGCTGAGAGGGAGCGGCTTTCAGTCAGGGTGCAGGAGTTAACCAACGCAATCGCTGAATCTGACAACTTCCGCATTCGCCATGACCAACACAAGGAACGACTGGAGCGCGAATTGGTAACTCTTAAGGGCCGACTCACCGCATCGGAAAATGACAACCGGGCGTTGTTAACCAAGATCCAACAGAAGAATCTCGACATCGCTAGATCCAACTCGAAGGCGAGCGAAAATTCACGTCTCCGTGTTACAAACCTCCAAAGAGAGAAGGCAAAACTCGAAGAGGACAGTAAGAAGCTAACCCGCCAGCTTGGGGATCTTCAACTGTCGATTACATCGCTGGAGAAACAGAAAGAAAAACTTTCGCTGAGCTTGGAAGACTTAAATCATGAAGCAAACAGGGAGCGCAAAGCTTGTAGGAATGCTGAGAAGGCTGCATCCACAGCCAACCTTCAGCTTGCTGAAGCCAACAGGAACCTAGAGACGGAGAGACAGCTGCGGAGCCAAGCTCAAGCAAACACGCGCAAACTTCAAACCTCTCTGGATACTGCAAATAAAGAAATTGAAGATCTCCATCGTCAATTGATGCTGCTTCATAAGGTTGTCGACCCTGCATCCGATCGGTCCTCAGAATCATGGGAGGAAGTACAGCCGGACCTGTCGAAGAAGGTAGACCTGGCTCAGTTACTAGATACCACGCGGACTCAGTTGCAAGTGACTGAGGAGAAGTATAACAGAGCAGAAAGTCAGCTTGCAGAAATGCGCCGTCGACACGGTGATGAGATGAGGGAGCTAGACGCCCGCTACTCTTCATCCAAGCGTGCGCTCCTGGAAGAGATCGATCAGAACCAGGTTGGGAACCGTACACCAACACATCTGAGGAAGGATTCTGAAAATGGGATTGTGAAGAAGTACAACACGCCAACGACACCTAACCGAAGATTTAATTTCAACGAAAACGCCAATGACTCTGCCCGATCTGATCGTACAGTGGACACCGTGGGTTATCAAAAACGGATGGACATGGCAGCCGAACTCGAAGAGCTTCAGAATAAGCTTCAGATGAGTGAAATGCAGAACAAGCACCTCCAAAGCCAACTACAGCAAGCAAACCCTCTTCGGGACGCGTGGCAGGATGAGAGCCCATCTATCAGGCGAATGCAACTCTTAGAGCGCGAAAATGGCCGCTTGCATGATCAGCTTGATGATTCTGCCAAGAAGGTTTCTGCACTTGAGCGAAGCATCCACTTGGGTGACCTCTCCTTGCGGGATGTGCAAGCCAAATCACACGAGGAACTCTACGACTTGATCAATTCCCAGGAACAATCCAGACGATCATTGCTCAAGGTGCACAATGAAGCTATTGCTGAGTTTAGCGACATGAAAGCCCAGTTGGAAAAGCTTAAGCGGTCGAAAGCTACCCTGGAAGTTGAACTTCGCGACTCGCGCTCTGAAGCCCAAGAGCTGCAACTCACTAAAGACCAGGACGCTGCAAGCCGAAACCAGCTTCTCCAAGAGTTCGCCGATTTACAAATCCGGCTAGATGCGGAAACATCGAAGTCTGCCGACCTTGCTGCAAGCCAAAGCCTTTACAAAACTCGTGCTGATGAGTACTTCAGC